GAAGGAGTCATAAGACGCCGGGAATCCGGCAGATTAAAGCACAGCGCGACCCTCCTCAGAGTGCGCACATAAGGCTCCCCGCTCAAAAGCGCGTCTACGCGACCCCAGCCGTCGATATTCACGTTCAAGACGGTGGCGTCATGATGGGCGGCGTCACGAGAAGCCAAGTGAGAAGTTCAATTCCAACAGGCAAAGTCTTGAGGATGGCGAAGAGCCAGTCGCCGGGCTGTTTTGCGAATTTCATATTGACGCGGAGAGTGCGAAGGTTCGAAAGGACCGTTAGATCGAGAGGTAGTTCCGATGGCTGTAGAAACGCTGTTACGGTTGGTGAGGGCGCCCAGCGCGGGACAGCAAAGACCGTGCCTGGACAAGCAGCATCTCGAGATGTTGGAGAGTCACTGCAACGAGTTTGAAGAGATCCGAATGTACGTCCTTGCAAGTAATACAGCTCCATTACTCGAGGGGGACGCTGTGAAAGTTAGGAAGGCCGAATTACCTCGATTTGAGTTGGCGAAGGTGCGACGGAGCAGGCTAGATGCGGGGAGGACTCAAGTGGGCGAGTGTGACCATCTCGATCGCCTAACGCGCGGCGGCTCCCTTGAAGTTGAAGATACCCCAGTTCTTATCCGCTCTCCCGTTCCCGATGCGGACGCTTAATTTATCTCGTTCTATTCAGTTCTGGCATAGAAGACAAATGAATCATACAACCTGCAGCGCACCAACCAACACACCCAATGCAAGCACGCCCCACCCCGCAGCCGACTTAACCGCAGCATTATCCTTCCCTACATTCCCGTTCCCTCCATTCGAGTCGCCCTTGCCGATGCTCTCCGGCTCCACAACGACTGTGTAGTACGGGATTGCCGAGCCAGTGTACGCGGACGTGGCGGTAGGTTCACCCTTGACCCAGTGCTCGTTGACACACGCTCCGCCGCCCTTCCCATCCAGGTCGCAGGAGAGGTTGTTCCCGGCGATGTCGACGTCGCCCGTCGGTGACGGCTCCTTGTGGAAGACAAAGTGCGAGCGTCTTGGACTATCGTGGCTGCAGAAGAAGAGAGGAAGGTGTTCCATTTGAACTCGAACGATCCGGAGATAGGTGGGTAGGACGCACCGTGGAACGTTACAGGATCACTCGTGAAAGTCCGAATCGGCGCTGGCTGCGTGATAACACTCCCTCTGCTCGTGAATGTCGTCCCACCACCGTTCAGCTGCTGCTCGTAGTACACGCTGGCGATGATCTCGTTGAAATAGGTCGTTGCTCCGTTCTCATTGACGCCAATCGGCGAGAACGTCTCCTGGGGACGCTCGAAGCCCGTGGTCGTCTGTACCGCGTAAAGAGTGAACGTGGCTGGAGCTGCGCTGCTGTATGCTGCAAGGAAGAAAGAAAAGACAACGCAAGTCGTTCAGAGCGTGTGACTGAAAGAAGAAAACGCGAAAAAAGTGTTGAACACGACGTACTAATGAAAGCAGATACAAGTGCAAGGGAAGTCGTGAATTTCATGGTGCGTCAGGAGATTCTTCGTAGCAGGAAGAAGGTTAAATGAAAGGAATAGGCGGCCTTAATGCTTCAGCGCGGCGGCATCCCTTAAAACTCCCTTTCCCCGCTATTGATGCCATGATGGGAGGAGACAAGTGACGGCATCAGATCCGGCTCACTTGTCTGCAGTCATCTCCAAAGAATTTATCAACTTTTTTACTACTATTCACCTTTGGTTACAGTGGTCGCTCACTTGACTCATTTCTTCATGCAATGAGGTTCTTGGCACTGTTCGAGGGTCGGCACGAGGCACGGTCCCAGAGTCTTGGACTTTGACATTATGCATCGACCCGACTCGGATGACGATATATCAGCCGTAGCCTCAAGGACCTGGGATAGGCTGACTTGGAGGCTGAATTTTCCAGAGCGGGAGGTCTGGGGCTTGGAGAACGAGGGTGTATACAGTGGTAGACGACAGGGACACAGAATACCGGGTTACGGACGCGCAGGATGCTAAGGAAGGCTTTCGTGGTCCGTATGGTGACGGGCGCGCTCACAAATCCACAGATACACAGTTTCTCCCTCCTCCTCAAGTTTCAAAAATTTCAAAGCCCATTCGTGGGTGAGCAGATTCTCTCTCTGATACCTGCCTCGTACACACGTCTGACCTTTTGATAGCGGTGCTTATGCTGCTTCGTCGCTAGCACCTACAGCCTCCCTCCTCCCCGACCACCCACGTGTCTCCTTCGGTGAGCACCTCCATTGACTTGCATGGCCGTCTCCCCACCTAAACATTTTGTCAATAGTATCTCCCGGTCGGTTCTCTATGGTATTTGGCACGTTCCCTGGTTCTAACATCGCCAGGCACGTCAAGATGGGTGGTGCGTACCTTCAGCCCGGGCCTTGATCTTGTTCAGCGCGTCGCTCACGTCACGGGCGTGGTAGTCGGAAGGTGGCCTCTAGGTTTGTTGTCGGTTCCCATAGCGGAGTTGCGATGCACAGAGTTTCCAGGAGAGGACACTGTTGAAGGGCGGATACCAAATCACGCGCGTCTACAAAATCGGCTGAAGTAAGATCTCGAGAGGTGTGATATTTTTCCAGAACATCGGGGCCGTTTTCACCAGCACAGCCGGCACAGTGGAGTCGAATCGAACTGTGTGTATTGAGGGGAAGCTCGGGAGTGTTGTCGGCATGAGAGTATGGTCGTTCCGTGCTAAATCTGAAACGGACGAAGAGGTACTCCAAGGATGTGCATTTTTCCAGGGCGAGGATAATTTCGTTGAGGGGTTGCTGAGTAAAGCGCTCCATGTTGAGCGCCGTGATAGTAACGGAGACGAGTCATGCGTCAGCCAAACAACCTACGAAGCGAAAAATGACGACTCACGGTCCTCTGAATGAAATGCTGCATGCGAGACGCGAAGCTGCATGCATGTTTGGCCTACTCGGAGTAATGTGCGACGAGTCAGCAGTGGAAAAGAACGAACTTGGAAAGCAGAAGGAATGAAAGAAGGGAAGGTAGTAGGAAGAGCACGCAGCACGCACTGGGCCCAAAGACGAAATCACCCCCAAGCTGGAAGATGTTTCCCTGTTTTCCGATGAGGGAGGGGGGCCGCGCTGTTGTGCGTGGTTGTGTAGTTGTGGTGTTGGTGTTCACCCAATGACGACGAGCTTCGCGCCGGGTGTTTGGAGCGCTAGTTCTGTGATCTCGGCGAGGGCTTCGACGTACATCTGCGTCGCTGGTGCCGCGCGGCGAGAAGATCATTATTGAGTTCGAGTACTTGGACGCGGCCGGTGGACGTACCTTGCAACTCTACATACATGTCGTTATTGAGGTAGTTGAAGAGGAACCTACGAAATTCAGTGGGAGCATACACCACAGAAGAAATGGCCGGGGCAAAATACAATAAATCCCGGGATGCGAACGTGATAGTTGATGACATAATAAGGTGAATGATGTATGAATGAACACGACGGCCGTCTTCTGGCCTTCTACAGACGATTCAAAAGCGACCTTTTTCCCCTCGAGCTTCAAGGCGGTGTTGAGACTCGCAGTGTCTGGAATTGCTGTGGCGGTCGTTGTTGGTGGTTCCATGATGTTCTTGGGGGGGTGGGGGGGTGAGAGAGAGAGAGGGGTGGGCCGAGGTGCCCGATCGTCGATGTCCCAGTGAGTACTTATATATCCATAGTCAGCTCTGAAATTCAAGCACTTTGTCCGGTATGGTGTAACGGCTAACATTGCCGCCTTTCATAGTACCTAACTTGAATGATGCGCGGCAGCTCGGGGTTCGATTCCCCGTACCGGAATATGCTGGTTGATAGACGAAGGTTTTGCTGTCGACCCCTGCCACCAACTCCATGCGCGCCCTGGCCCTTGGACTGTGCCACGGTAGGACTTGCCGCATGAGCTGGAGTGGGTATACGCTGTGGTGTAAGATTGCTATTTACTTTGTCCCGCTCACTCGTCCCCGTCCACGACGCCCATACCGGCTTGCCCCACCACCAAGGAAGCTATCGGCTACGCGGCGTAGCCCCCTGTTCATCCTTGCTGCACCTCACAATCCGACGCTAGGTAGCCCGAGTCCCCACCTACTTCAACCAGGCATCGCAACCCGCACCCAGCACCCGAGCCTACCCACCCACTCTCGGGGCCCTTCACTCCCACCCACCGCTGGGTGGGTGTTGCATATGCTGTCACTGTACACGACGGCCGTGGACTTCGCATTCCACCCCATGCCCCCACCCCCCGTGGTATGTTCTCATTGTTCATTGGCTCTTTTTTCCTCGCGTTGATGCATACTTTTCAGGAACCAACGCGAGTCGTGGTTACGCCTTTGAATAAATAACCACACCTGGCGTCGTGTGCCTACATACTACAATCTCGATATGGAACCACGACAAATGTGATTGATGCCCCTCCAAGTGTTTTTCTCGCTCAACCCGCTTCCCTGCTCCTGGTCGACGGCAGTATCCGTTGGCGAGAACGACGAATGAACGACAATGACGAGGAATTGTCCACCGCACATGCTCCAACGTCGCCAATGAAGTAACGAGAGGATTAGCATCGGACCTGTGTTCACGCACAAGTAATCTCTCCGGCATCACCATCATCCACCTCTCGTGCAACCCTGTGGATCTCGGGGATGACAGACCAGCGACAGACAGAGAGTCGCAGTTACACCCCATGGTAGCACCCGCAGAGGCTGCCACCATCGTTCGATCCTACCCCAAAAGCTTCAGCTCGAGTCGAGTTCATGGCCTAGTTGAACCCCGAGTCCCGGACCTCCTCCTTCCAACGCCGCCTGACTGCGACGACGTTGACGACCAACCCACCCTGAATTCTTGAGCCCCGCCGCTGTTTCCCCCAACCTCCGTCTTCTAATCGGTGTCGCCACCTATTACCTGCTACGCCAAATCCTCACGCCGCCCACGCATACTCTTGAATAACGGAGTCCACACTGCTCCCCATCCCTCAATGAGCTCCAGACACGCGGCACCGGGCGACCTGACAAGTTTTGATGCATGACCGTCCTCGAGAAGATAGCGACCAAAGTCACCCCAAGGGCTCGGACTCCGCCGCTCCGTTCACCCGCAAGCCGAGTCGTGTTTCGTCTGTCGACCTCGGAGCAAGTAGCAGGATTTGGGGTTCCTCCGTGTAGTGACCAAAAGACAGGTTCGATACAATTCTTCAGCTGGAGTCTGGTCCTATCTTGTCGGCGGGAGGTCTATTTGCTGTCACCTCACCACCTCGCATCGGTAGAGACGCCTCCGAAGATTTAGTAGTCCTGGAGGCTGTCTGTCATTGACACAAATACAGACCCGTGCATGTGTGGCACCTTCTTCTGACTGGACGACCTAGGGTAATCTAGCGACGCAGTACAAATCAGAAAACCCATTCATGTCAATTCAGAAATTCTACACAAGGCCGTAATTACTCAAAAGCAGCACAACAACCGACTCACGCATCTCAACTTCGACGTCGAGGATGCCGTTCGCTACAAGAATCTGCTTACACTCTTTGGCCGCAGCAAGCCCGTCTTCGCCGGAGAGCGTATCAGGCTTAACACCAATCCAAACGACAACGGGGGCGTCGCTGATGCGCTCAACGAGTCCAACGTCCCCAAATCGAACGAGATCCATGCTTGTCCACTCCACCCCTCTAGAATCAAGCACACCAATCATCTGTCTCAGGTTTTTCTCCTTCCAGACGTCGCTTATCGGTGGGATACAGGCATTTGCGCCGGAGGAACTCCCCGGGGCGGCTGCCATTTTCCGGTGCCTGTGCGAGCGACGAGGATTTGCCGGGAGAGCAGGCCGTGGTAGTAGCAGTCGGCCTCGAGATCGGACAGGGGGAAGTGGCTGGTTTTACGAGGAGTAGCTGGTTCTTCCACGACGCAGTCTAAAGGCAAGGTCCCTCGCGTTGAGGGAATTCTTCTGCTGGTCCCCCCGCCTTCGATCGTCCTCCTTCTGCTGGGGGTCCGTGTTGTCGAGAATAGAACTAGTGGCCCCTCGAACGTGTCTATTCTAACTTGGTTGGGTATCTCGTGAATGGAGCAAGAATGAAGAGAGCTTACCATCGCAAATGTTCAGTGACCGCACAGACTAAAAAGTCTTCGCCCACTCGTTGATATCGATCTCCCATGACCGCAATTCATGGGTGTCGATGTGGAGGCCTACAACTTCAAAGCCGTCCCTCTTTCTCCAGGTATCGATCCCCGACTTGGCAAAGGTCGCCTCGTCAGTGGTACAGTCTAAAACTACCCCACGAATGATTTCTCCTCCGTCGCGCTTCTCATCGTGCTCTGTCCGCTTTGCGAGGAGGTCGAGAGATGCTATGGCCGCATCAGGGTGCACACACAAATAGAGGTGTGAAAGGGAAGGCAAGAATTCCCCTTTGGCAAAGCCATTAGCGATCTTCATGTGGAGGATCGGTAGTCTGGCGCTTGTGACCGTCGTACATGCAGTTAGAAGCGTACGCAAGCCAGGAATATACCACTCCGAAGTCTCAGCCGCCGTGCTGGCACGGAAGTCAAAGTGAATGAGCGAACATCGAGAGGACACTAGCATGTCCCTCACTGGCACGAGGTTGACCGTCGCATTGGAGAATAGGTGAAGGTTTTTCAGCGAAGGAACAACCATTTGGCGGAAGATCCACGTATGCTTGTTTGCTTCGAGCTCCACATAGAGGCTGGTGAGGCGTGGTAGTTGAATGGGAAGGTTGGAGGTAGATCCCCGTCGCAGATTTGAAAATGATAGAGTATCCAGAAGAGGACACTGCTGAAGGATGCATATCAGGTCATTGCTGGAGTCGAAGAATTCGGCAGAAGCGAGATCGAGAGACGTAACGTTTTCCCAGAATTTCTGGGCAGTTTTCACCAGCGCTGGCGGCACGGAATCATGGAATCGAGCAGAGTGTAATCGAGGATAGTCGAGAGTTTGCTCTGGCATGACAGTATCGTCAACATCCGAATCAAAGTGGACGGCGAGACGCTCCAAGGATGTGCATTTTTCGAGGCCGACGAAGGTTTCATTCCGGGATTGGACATTATTGAGTCCAATGTCGAGGGTCGTGATAGTGTTCCATCGAAAAGGTAGTGATGGAAAAGGAAAAAGGGTTTCCTCACATTCTCACAGTTTGCGAAGCTGCAGCGCAGCCATAAATGGCCGGAAGTTCGGCGAAATGTCGTCTGCGTAGCTCATTTTTAGAGACTGGAGCCGCGGGAACGCATTCTCGGGAAGAATGCTGTTGAGGTCGTCCCAAATTCCAAGTCAAGCTTTTGGGTGCGTTCCAGAAGCGACAACAGAACGGCGTCAAGTAGATTTCCTCCTTCGATTCTCGAGAGGGCTAGATCGAAATGGACTGTGGGAGGCGCTACTTCAAGGACACGGTGCATATCTACCACATTTGAGTTGGCATGGACAAGGCCCCAGATTCGGCGCTCGCCACGACATACGTGCCTCCACCGCCTACACACATGTCCAAGGACCCAAGGCATATCAGTAAGGACAGGTGGGAAAGCGATGGTGGATGATGGTTTCGAAGAATGGATGAATATTTCTTAGGGTTAGGGTTAGGGTTAGGGTTAGGGTTAGGGTTAGGGGTTAGGGTTAGGGTTAGGGTTAGGGTTAGGGTT